TAAGCTTAAGTACATCCATATAAGCATATGCAGTTCTGTGATTTGTCTATGATTGAAATTTGCTGCATACTCCCTAGCGTTATTTATCTTCAAGGTACCTTGTACATACAAATAATATAGTTGTCACAGGCTGTCTAATGTTTGAATGTACACTTGAAATTTTCAATCTATTTTTCCTTAAAAAAATTGTCTGGTTTGTTGGGTTGGGTTTTGGTTTGGTTTTTTGGTGGGGTTTTTTTTTTTCATTTTTGTAAATGACTGTTTGTTTCTTTCTTTATCCTCATTGAAAAAATTCCTTCTCTTGCATCCCCATAATTTGTTAGTCACAAAAGAGTCAACCATTCTACATCTGTACTTCAGGCTAGAAACATTAACCACTCAACTCAAACCTCTTTCAGCTTCAGTATTACCTACCCACATAGAACAGGAAAGAATGCTTTTTATGTGAATGAGTCTGCAGGGGAGGCTGTGACACATTCTACCACTGTCCTTCACAAACAGTGCAGGAACAGTGGAAGCATAGGTCTGAAAGATCACGCTCCAATTGACAGAATTGCTGGAGACCAGAATGATCAGACATCCCCAAGATCTGATGTTATCACTGTGAAGCTGGAAGGAGAAGGACCTCCTTCTCCTCCCAGAGCTCTCAGTCCTTTCAACTATTCTGACTCTTCTAAAAAAGGCTTAATAGCCCTGGGTAACCAGATGAATGTAGCATGAGAGCTTCACTTGCAAGGAGAGCTCTATCAGGCTCACTACTGAGTTAGGCTCCCGAGCTCATAAACTTCTCATTCTTCTCCATACAAGGAGCCAAACTATTGAGCAATACCAGAATGGCACTTCTGTAGGACAGAGTTTCTTCAGACTGGGAAGTGTGCTTGGTTTAGGCAACCACTTTCTAGCCATCAGGCTATTAGCACTTAAAGTAGAAAGAAGCAGTTACTCCACCTATCACCTACGTGTTGCTATATTGTCATTTTGAGTTAATGGTTGAATATCAATATGCACTATACACGCACTGTATAATAATCAGCTCTTTCGGAGGACTTGAGCATGTGACAGTGTAGTTTGTGACTCCCTAATGGGCTTAGGCCTAAGTCAGGCAGCAGACATGCCTGCAGCTAAGGCACATGCTTGGGAGCTATATAAGCTCTGGACATGCAGGGACAACCAACTTCTCTGCTGCACCACTACAGAAAGATCTGTGAAGTGCACTCAAGGTGCCTCAGTTTCTACATTGTGCCAGGTAAGCATCAAACTGTTTGTGTGGATTTGAGTCTCCAGAGCTATATACCAGGCCGGGACTACACTTCACTGCACACAAGCATAACTATTCTCAAGAGCACCTAGTGACATGGTGCAAAAATGCTGATGCCTTTAGATGCAACACTAATTTCAAGGCAATTGGCTAATATTAGTAAAGTGTTCTTCATTGGTAAGGTGAAGTTGTTCATAAGAAAGCAAAAGGGGGAACTTTCACAAAAACCTTAACTCCTCAAGCACATTGCTCCAAGATACTAAACATATCAAGATTACAGAATGTTCCCCTTCCACAAATCCTACATACTGTGGTTTGAAATCTGATGTTGTAAGGATGAAGGGATGACAAGGTCTCTGCCATTGACCAGGAACACATAGGAGGAAAAAAGATTAAAAAAAAATTGCACCATACAACTTGCCTGCCTTTGTCCTAAGGGCCTGACAAATTTCTTCAGCCCCAGACTATTGAAGGAAACTCAGTAGGTCAACAAACTGACAGTGCAAGCTTCTGGAAAAAGACATGCAGGTTTTGAACTGAAAGATGCATTTCTGCCACACCCCCAGAGCAAGCACAGAAAGTATTTCATCGTACATTGTCCTGTTCCTTGCAGGAGCACCCTGCTCCCAAGCTGGCATGCTGCAGTGCATGCTGATGTCAGCATGAACTGGCAGCAGGATTTTACAGTGCTTTTAGCTCAGAATCAGAAATGGGCCTAGGAAGCCAGAGAGGTACAGACCTAGAGGAGAAGGATATGGTCTCTTCACTGATGACCCTAATCCCTTCTCTTGAAGACCACAGAATCTACTCAAAGCAGCAGCTCAAATTTCCTTGGATCTGCAATGCTATGACTATCAGCTGAGGAATACAATAGTTTAAGTAAATGGTAATTTTTCCTTACAGTTTTCTGCTATAAGGAATGCTGGAAAGTGTTGTAGAAACTTGTTTTCCTATCAGGACAACCATAACACACAAGAAACACTGCCCCCTCTCTCACCCTCGTGATGCCTGAGGCAGCACGTAACAGACTTCTGCTCCACTGAGAGCTGAATGCAGCCTAGTTAGCAATACAGATCAGTATTAAGGTCCCTTAACTTCCAAGGGATATTCCAGATATGTAGGTGGGTGTTACTGGAAGAAACGTGTACCTGCAGGTGGTTTAAAGTGGCAGCTGGAGACATTTGGAAAATTGGAACAACTTTTACTGAAGATAATAGGAAGAGAACGTGACAATGTGTGACTTTTATAACATAGCCGTGTCATCCAGTAGAATCACTTTGTATTTATAACAAGCCTCCAAAAAATTGTTACTGTCTCAAAAGTCAGCCTAAGAAGGTTACTCTCTGGAAAGATGTGTCCAACTCATGTCCCAGAAAGGAATTAAGTTCTCAGCATAAATAAAAGGTAAATGATTTCAAAATCTACTGGTTCTCTATAATAGCCAAATCGTAATCCATATGATTGCCATATGGATCACAATGGATCCATGTAATTGCCAATAGTAATCCAGCTGTTTGCCATGATCTAATTTGTAAGCCAGTTGTCTGATTTTAAGGTTTACAAGTTTCCCAATGTACTTTCAATAAATTTCCGACTCTTCCTTTAAAGAAATATAGATGTATACTTAAAATCACAATTTCTCAGGCCTGGATGGTCATTGCTATGAACTGCAAAAACTGTTGTAAGAAACAAACCTTTGAACATCACAAATCTGAGAAGACAGTGTCAAGTAATTTCAAGATGAATTCACAAACTGCAATTTTTTACCTCTTTAAAAATCATATTTAATGTATCCCGGTTCGCTCAGTGAAACCCCTAAAGATTCCCATAATTTCACAGGAAAGGAAGTATTAGTCCAGAATTCAGAAATACCAGTATGAAAGAAGAGCATAACTTAGAAAAAAAAAAAAAAATTTATCCTCTACCCCACGTTAACAAGAACAAGGCTGAGAAATTACCATCTCAACTGACAAAAGTTCATTCTTGCAGCGACTGTAAGATTTACAGTATTGCTCTACAGCACCACAGAACCAGTAATCTTCTTCAAGGAATACAAGCTAAATATTTATAGGGAAGTAGCTGTTCTGGAAGAAATGGGAGAAGGATAAATGTAGCTTAAAGCCTTTGAACTATTTCTCCATTTAATTTTCTTCTGATAAATAGAATCTAAAGAGGAAGCCATTGCTCACATTTCACCACATTGACGAAAACAATGTGTCTCCACAAAGCACATCTCAGAGAGAGCCACACCGCAGGGTAAGGAGCAGCAACCCACATCCGCTGTCCCAAGCCGAGACCCCAGCATCACGTTCCCAGCCTCACATTCTCACTGCGAGACGCAGCGCTGGGCCCAGCTTATGCTGCTGCCCTCAGCTCCGGCAGCCCATGCAGAACTTAGAGCAGGAGACCCATGAGGAAGAGCAGAGGCAAAATCGGAATGCAGCATGTGAGGGCAGAAGTCAGGAGCCCGAGGAGATGAGGCAGCCCCATCAGCTGGTGCAGCCGTGCCGTGTCACTGGGTATTTCTGACTCTGCCGAAAGCACCCAGAGCGGGTGCCGCCTTGGGAGCGGCCCTGCTGAGCACAGCGGTGTGTTGGGCAGGCAGCAAGGCGGGGACCCACCTCCTGCCACCCAGGGCCTGGGTCACCCGGGTCTTTGCGTACACTGCCCTCACCTACCTGCCACAGCCATTAGCAAGAGAGCAGGCCTGATGGGGAGCTGGGGAGCAGATCCCAGCCTCACAGAATAGCCCGGGTTGGAAGGGACTTCAAGGATTGTGGATCTCCAACCCCCCCACCGCAGGCAAGGCCACCAACCTCCACATTCAATACCAGACCAGGCTTCCCAGGGCCCCCTCCAACCTGACACCTCCCTCCACAGGCGACAGCTTCAACCTGTTTATCCTCATGGCTCACTGCGGGCAATGTTACGTTTGAAGCCACCTCTTGACGGAGGAGGCTGGAAAATGTGGTCACATGTGTTTCTTGGCAAGGGTGAAGGGCGAGAGGGAGCGAAGCTTCAGAAGTGCCAGGGACCTGATGTGCAAACGTGGCACCTACCGACACCCCTCTGTGCGGCCGGAGAGTCCGAGCCCGCTCCGTCCCGCCAGCACGCAGGCACGCTTCCCTCTGCGATGAGCAGCGCGACTAATTACATAGATTTCCTAGTTACGAACGCCTCGCCGTCCCCACCGCGAGCCGCTCCCACAGCGAGCCGCTCGCAGCCGCTGCCGCGCGGGGGGCCGGGGCGCGGGGCGGGGCAGCCGCCGGGGCCGGAGCCCTGAGCCGTGCGGAGGGAGACGGCCGAGACCGAGACCAGGCCAGTCGGGGGCAGCACGGCCGCTCCGGTGAGCCGGGCAACCCCACCCAGCGGCCCCTCCTGGAAGAGGCGGGGTCGCGGGGACCCCGAAGGGATCACGCCTCGCCCCCGAGTGGGGCTTTCCACCCGCCCTCCGCTGTCCCGCTCCCTGGGGGCGAGGAGGACCGCCGTCCCGCTCCGTCCCGCTCCGTCCGGAGGCGCCGGGCTCCCCCATGGGCAGCGCCGCTTCGGGAGGGGCTGCCCGGGCGCGGGCAGGAGGAAGTCAGGGGCCGAGGCCGCGGCTCGGCAGCTCCGTGCCGGGCAGGGCCCCGCGGGGCTGCCCCGGGCAGCGGCCAGCTCCGGCCGTGGCAGCGCCCGCTCCCGCCCGCCCGCGAGCGGCGTATGAATGAGCGACCGAATGAATGAATGACGGGCGTCTGCTTACTTGAGCATGGCCTCTTCCTTCTCTTCCTCCTCTTTCTGCCGGTCCATCACTGCCATGATAATGTTCCTCTCTTCCTCTGTCAGGTGGCTCAGGTCGGGCAGCTCCTGCATCGGGGGGGGCACCGTGGGTGGCCGAGGGCCGCGGGGCCCCGCCGAAGAAGACATTTTATCTCTGCCTCTCCCTTATACCTTCTGCCTCGGCGAGGCAAGCCCCGCCGGCTCTCCTCCGCCCCCCCTCACAGTGTAGTCCTCCGAGCGGCGGCGGCCAGCAGCTCTCTGGCAGCAGCGGAGGAGGAGGCGGAGACGCAGCCTTTCATGGTTGCTCGCATCCACCCCAGCCCGGCTGCGCCGCCGCTCGCTCCCTTTGTCTCCGCGGCTTCACGGAGCTCGGGGGCCGCCGCGCCGTCGCCCGCAGCCCATCCTCCCGGCGGTGGGCGTGCGGGGCGGGGGTGCCGCGGTGCAGGGGCTTCCCGATGGCCGCCGGCGGGGCTGCGTGCGGACGGAGAGAGGCAGGGAGGCGGTGTGCGCCGCGGGCCGGCCAGGAGGGGCGGGTGCCGCCGCCGCGATGCGATGCGAAGCGATGCGATGCGATGCGAAGCGATGCGATGCTCCGCTCCTGAGAGCTCGGCGCCGCGAAGAGGGAGGAGAGCTCGGGGCCGCTTAGGCGGAGTCCGAGGCGCGCCGCCGCTGCCTCCCTCCCAGGCGGCCGTGCCAGAGCCGGAGCGCCGGCGCCGCCGTCCCCCGCTCCCCTCGCTCTTCCCGCCGCCCCGGCACTGCCTCTCTCCTCGCGTGCCCCCGCAGGTGTCCGCCTCTCGAGGCGGGGTCGGGAGCTCGCTCCGGTCCCCACCGGGACCGCTGTCTCACCGAAAGCGGGAGGCACCCAGGGAAACGGAGCGGCCGCCGAGGAGTTGTGCCGCCGGCTTTCCGCGGGGCGGCCCGAGGCTGCGGGCCACCCAGCTGCCGCCGAGCCGCCGCTCTCTCGCACATCAGCCATGCTTGCCTCAGCTCCAGCTGCACACTCGTCACCCCGAGGCAGCGCCATGACCGATCCACCATCCCTTCGTAGGATCCGAGACGAGAGCACTTTCTATACTTCCTGCAGCAAGTGGCACCCGCGGCAGCGGTTCCCTGCCTGTCTCTCTCAACTCTCCTCTAGATCACTCTGACCAATTTTTTCATAGATGAAACCCACCAAAATGGCCATGAAACATGCCACGGTGCATTGGTCAATTGAAAAGGAAGGGCACAATAAACAAAGTATTATTCTAGATTCAGACACCTTCCCCTACCAGTTTCTAATCTACCAGCTTTGAGAAACTTGGTTTGGAGGAGCTGGTAACCAATTCAGCAGCCCTTCTGTTGGAAGGGACTGATTACCTGTAATCCACTGGCCCTAAACCCATCCCTGTAGCTCTGAAAAGCCCCTTGTTTGAGCACAAGTCTATCTGTGAATAGTTGGACATGCAAAGCTGAAATACGAAGAAAACTGAACTTTCAAATAAGATGTGAACTACTTCTAGCACATTAAGACCTCTCAGTCATGTTTCTGTCGAGGTCACAGCATGGAAACAGCTCTGGTTTCTAGAGATGGGTATGAACCAAAGGAAAAAAAAATCTGTCCTAGCAGTGCTTAATGCTTCTTGCTGCCAAACTTGCTAGGTTTGCAATAGGGAGAGAGACCACTTTTCAGCTAGCCACACTACTATCTTTCACACAAATCTGAGAGCTATGAACCTTCATGACCCATGGAATTTGAGAAGAATTACTGTGACCATCTGCTTGTATCCTCCCAAGAGATTTTCTGCACCAAACAGTTCAGCAACATAATTAAAAAGAAAAAGAAAAAAAAAAAAAAGAAAAAAAAAAAGAAAAAGAAAAAGAAAAAATAAGTACTACTGTGACCAGTAGAACTTTTGAGTTATAATGGGTAAATTCAGCCTTTTCCATCAACTCTGAAAGTCTCAACTCTTCCAGCACATGAATGAAACAAACTTGAATGACCAACAGATGGCTCAGAGAGATTAAAGTGGTGTTAGTAAAGCACAACGAAGAACTGGTGAATACCATAATGTCACACTCAGTTAAGGAAACAGACCCTCCAATAAGTCATGTGGTGATTTCTTCCAGGGTCTGGCCACATTATTACTTATAGATGCAGTCAACCAAGCTGTGTACTAGCAAATCAATAAAATCACTTTCTGCCATCTGTGACCAGCAGGGAAGGCTGCCTTCCTGTTACAGTCTGATGTTAAACAATTTATCCGTTCATTTCCAACAAGCAAAAGTATGGCAGCTAACTCAAAACCAAAGGGAGCAGGAAGGTGAGATACCACCTTAGCATCTGTTGTGCATCACACAGAACTAAAACATGAAATATCTGGAACTGTAACACTAGGTTTAAAGATTATGGTGTTGCATGTATCCATACACAGACCACAGTCTTTCAGATGCTTTGGGCCTGCACACTCCATTTAAAAGATGTAGCAAAGCAACTGCAAGAACTATTTCACTGCAGCCCCGGTGTTTCTGAGTCACAGCCTTAAAGCCAACTAAAAAAATACTGGTGATCTAAGTCTGTAAGAATCAAGTGTCTTCATGATAGTTTTTGAAGAGAATATTACAGGAGGTTAAGTTATCCTACTTACCTTTTTGCTTATTAATTACTGACACAGTCGTGTGTGTCTGTTCTGTATTACTTTGTTAATTGCTGTACGTTGGGTCAAGCACATGAATAGTGCTGTATGCTGAATACCAAATAAATAGAAAAAGTGTAAGGGGACTTCATATATTCATATATATTTTCTCGTAACTTAAAGGGAAAAGCTGAAAGCTTTTGGGGAGTAATTGGAAAAAAAAAAAAAAAAAAAAGAGGAAATAGTGTGAATAGAATTCAGTTACTGAAAATCAGAATCATAGAATTGTTTAGTTTGGAAGGGAACTCTTTATATGATCTGGTCTAACCTCCCTGCTCAAGCAAACTCAGTTAGAACAAGTTGCTGAGGACTATTTCCAGTTGGGTTTTGCATATCTCCAAGGGTGGTGGTCCCACAAACTCTCTGGGTGATTTACTTCAATGTTCAACCACTCCCACAGTATAAAAATGTTTTCTAATGTTCAAACAAAACATCTGGTGTTTAAATATACATCCATTGCCTTTTTTCCTGTCAGTGGACACCGATGAAAAAAGCCTGGCTCCATCTTATTTACACCTTCCATCTGATATTCATTCAAATTAATAAGATCCCTTGAGCCTCCAATTCTTCAGGCTGAAACGCCTTAACTCGCTCAACCTTTCCTTTTATGACAAGCCCTTTAACCATTTTCACAGCTCTTCCCTGTACCCATTTCAGCACGACCACATTTTTCTTGTACTGGGGAATCCAGAACTAGACCAAGCACTCCATGTATGGCTTCAACAGAATAGAAGGCAAAGATCACCTCTCTAAATTGCCAGCAGTGCTTTTTCTAATGTCTGCTACATCTTAGGCACAACAAATAATATTACATTATTTTATACATTTTTGCACAAAGAATGTTGTCATGGTTTTATGATTTTTGGTTATTGGTATTCCACATCATAACATCATGTAACGCAAGGGGAGTTAAAAAGTTAATGCTCCAATTCTGTGGGTTGTCATTAGTTCAGGTTACCTGGTTCTCAGAAGGGAAGAACTATACACCCCAGAAGGCCTTCACTGTTCCATTTTCGTTTTCCATTTAGAGGGAAAGATAAAACTGCTCACAAGTCACAAGACATTGCCTTCTTTTACTGCTCGTCTTTTTGTGTGCACTCTAGCCATCTCGCATTCAGCATTAGAGTAAGGCCTTTAGTTTTGGACACTCTCACTCTCATTTTATTTGATTTATTAGCTTAAATTCCAATTATATTGTATTATATTGTGTTATCTCACATTCTGATATCATATTTAGCAAATTAGATTTCTCCCTGAGCTTGTTGCAGCTGTTCTGCTTTTAGGCCCACCTCCCTACCATCTCCCTACCATTTCCCCTTTTTCCCCCTCCCCTGGGGTGTGGGTCCATGGGTCTCTCCATCCTATTAGTCATGACCCATTAGTCATGGGCTGAACTAGCCTAGAACCTGTTGACAAAAGTAGAGTTCTCTAGAGAGTAATACAGAAGAAACCATAAAACCATATCTCATTTTTCATCAGGCTACAAGAGGATACTCCGTTTTTACTGCTAAATACTTCAAACCCTGAGTGGTCATTTTTTTATTTGCCCATTTTTGCTTTGTAAAGATGAAATATTTGGCATTGCCATCCAACCAAAGATGCACGGAAAGCCAGTCTACTTCAATACAGCACATCCTCAAGACAAAATGATACATTTGAGCTTTGAAGAGAATTTCATTGCCTGGTTAGTAAGAATGCCCTCTGCCCAGTAATACCCAAAGTTTTATCGCCGAGATGCATCCTATTACCTCAATTTCTCTGAGGTCATACATAGAGAAGAATACTGTGAAATCTAGAAAAGGTATGCAAACACAGCTGTTGGTAAGCTACTTTCTTAAACTGTGCTATCTAGAGAAGCCAACCACTACCATGGTATATGTGATTAAAAGAAAAACTTAGTAGTTCTTACTAAGTGAAAGTTATAAAGTCTTCCGTTGCTCATCTGTCAATTCTCCTTGTAACATTTCTATTTGTTCTCTGAATTAAAAGTCTTCTGAATTACTAGAATTAATAATATATATTTGTTCTGCACTAAGTTCAGCTTCTGTTATCAGGAAATGAAACTGACTTGCTACCTGTGTGAGAAGATAATTATGCTATGAAGTTGGCAACCTGTAGAGAAAAATTTTTACTAACTACCAAACTCTTGTTCAGAAGAATGACTGTGCAAGCTGGACTACTTTGGAAATAAGTTAAGCTAAATTTGGCAGGAGCACTGAATGTTTAATAGGAGAGCCTGTGTGGGGAGTTATAGAAGGAAGAATTCTATATATTCATGAACACCATTTTTCATTCAATTTTCCTTAACTTCCCAGTGAATTAAGCATAGTAACATAGTTGAAACTCACAAAAGTCTTAGCTGAATAGAAGTTAGCAGCATTTACTCCAAATGTACGACCTAGAGAGTCAATAGTTTCACAATACATGGTGTATGTGAACACTTGTGCAACTCCAGATTTCACTGAGTTTAGCTTAAAAGCATGTCTAAACTTCTTATATTGTAGTTTTCAGAGATCTTCATAACCCCATAATTTGGTTAATTCTTATTTTCCAGCAAAGTTTTTTGTATGAAAGTTTTACGTTTTAAGGATCTGTCTTCTCTTCTGAAACAAAAATCATTTTTGCAGAATAGCAGAGAATTAAAGTTACGCTTTTCAGAAGGGTTGTAGTAAGATCTTCAGTTATTTCAGACGTCATTGCTTGTGCAATACATTTATTGTATTGTATTTATTG